AACCCTCCCTTCCCCCCCCCTGAGCTTCCCAGAGCAGAATATAGGCTTAAGAAATAATAATAAAAAAAAATAAAAAAAAAAAATAAAAATTAAATTAAAAACTTTATATTTATATATATAAAAAAGATATCTATAATATATATAAAAATAAAACTTATGAAAAAGCTATATAATATTTTTGTATACCCAATCTAAATTGTATAAATTTTATCCATTTGTCCCAGATAGCAAAAAACTTCTCTTGCGTTTGTTGCTTTAAGAAAGCCGAAATCTTTGCCATTTCTGCCAGATAAGCTACTTTAAAAAACCATTCCTGCAATGTAGGCAAAGATTCCTTCTTCCAATATTGTCCAATTAACAGCCTCGCGGCTGTGATCAAGTTTAACATCAATACAACCTCCTTTGTATCACAATCTGTAACAATACCTAACAAAAATAATTGCGGAGTAAATTTTACCCTCCTTCTAAAAATTCTCTGGATATTCCACCATATTTTGATCCAAAATGCTTTTATCTCTCTACATGACCACCAAATATGATAATAGGAAGCCTCCTTATAACCACATCTCCAACATTTAGGTTGCACGTCAGGGTACATGTAAGACATTTTTTGTGGATCAAGGTGCCATCTATAAAACATTTTATAAAAATTCTCCCTTAGATTCTGTGCTTGAGTAAATTTGACATTTCTCACCCAAATAGTTTCCCAGGTGTCCAATGAAACTGGCTCACCAAAGTTCTGCGCCCATCTAATCATACAATCTTTAATTAGTTCCGTTTCTGAGTCCAATTCAACTAAAACCCCATAAATTCTCTTAATGTGGGTTTGTCTTTGATCCTTCAGTTGCTTAATAAGATTTTCATCTTCTCTAAGAAAACCCACCTTACAATCCATCTTCCATCTATCTAGTAGTTGCCTATATTGGAACCAAGAATAAGTAAAATTTTCTTGTGCTAATTCTTCCCGTGATTTTAATTGCCAGTTTTGTCCATCCCATTTAAGTAAATGGTCTGGGACTTTTGAATTTAACAGATAAGCATCTATCCCATACACTCCAAACTTAACAATTGTTGATAACAAAAAAGTCTGGATAGTGGACATGGCATACCTGAAGACAGCAGAAGAGAAGAAAAAGCACTGGAGGGAAAATCACAAAATACCAAGACAGCAAGACCTGCAGATAGAAGTAGAACAACTGTGGCAAAAGAAAGCAAAGATAGTGCCAAAAGATGCCTTGGATACAATCCCTAAACAACTGGAACATCATTTGAACACTATCACCATTAACAAAATCAACATTAGTCAATCACAAAAGGCAGCTTGCCGTAAGATCTGCAACAATACCCCTAACACCATCAAACAGCAACATCTGCTTCTCCCAGGTCCTTGGGAAAGACTCAGTAGGTGGATGAAAATGCCAAATCCAGTCTTAATACCTGGCTGACTGTGCAATAATAATAATAATAACCATAATAACGTAAGACCCAATGAAAGGGACACCACCAGGAAACTCTAGGCCAATAACATGCTTGCCTACAATGTTTACTTTACTCAAAGGCATAATAGCAAGTAACATTACTACAGTACTGCTGTTATTTACTACAGCTTAGATTATTTATTAGATTATTTAGGAAAAAAATAACATAACATCCTTCTAGTGGAACAGAAGGAAATAAAAGGAAAAACAGTGGAACAAAGGATCACTTTCTGATTGATAAAATGGTTTTGAAGAATTGCAAAAGGCAAAAAAAAAAAAAATAGTCTGGTTTGCTTACAAAAAGGCATTTGATTCATTACCATAGTTGGACCATCAAATATTAGGAAACAACTAGTATCAGTAAAAACATTGGAATGTTTATAGACAAAAATAATGAAGCAATATAAGACTAATTGGGGATTGGAAATGAAAAATGTGAGATTCTCAATATTAGGAACGGCATCTTTCAGGGTTACTTATTATCACCCTTATTATTTGTCATTACTATGTTCCTGCTTTCAATGTTTTTAAAGAAAACAAATCTTGGCTACCAAACAGCAAAAAATGCTAACAGAATCTCACATTGGCTATATATCGGATGATATATATCAGTGGTTCTCAACCTTTTTAACGCCGCGACCCCCAACCGGTTGTAAGTCGAGGACTACTCAACCGGTCGTAAATCGAGGACTACTCAACTGGTGCAGCACCGTTTGCAGAATGGGACTTTTGGCAGGCTCAGCAGGCAGAGACAGCCTGGACAATTCCTATTGGCTTTTGAAAGCCAATAGAATTAGACTCTATTCAAGAGAGTCTATTCTATTGGCTTTCAAAAGCCAATAGAATAAAAGGGAGTAGCACAGCTAAGGAAAAGGGAAAAAATGGCGGACTCCGTTGTTTGGCGACCCCCGTGAAATGGTCGTTCGACCCCAAATGGGGTCCTGACCCACAGTTTGAGAACCACTGATATATATGGAAAATCCGAAATCCAGTCACTGACAAATATAAGGATTTTTAGGTATAGCAATGGAATTTGGCCTAGAGAAATGTGCTACACTAGCAATAAATTGGGGTAAAATCTGAACAGTAATAGGATGAAGCCTACAAGCATAGACAAGTTAAAAAATGTGATTAATAAGAAATGCAACCACATAAGGAACTTTCCCACAAGGGACCTTCTATGGCTGGGTACAGAAATGAAGCTCTAATCTTCAGGATCCCAGCTTCTTTTCTGCAGCTCATCGCAGGATTACTCCTCAACTCTATGCACAGAAGGGAACTCCTGCAGTGGACCGGTGAAATGAAGCTTGAATCCCAAAGATTTGAGCTTTATTTCTGGAGCCGCCAGAGGAGTTTGTCTCCCCTCAGGGTGGGGAAGAGAACTACTCTGGCAGGCTGCAGGAACAGAGCTGGGATCTTCAGGATCTGAAGACCTTCGGAATTCCTGTCCTTTCCATGAGTGAGGGGGCTGCAGAAATGGGTTCAGTTTTTCGCTTTGAAAAAGGTGCCTGTCAGGAGGGAATCTCAGCTCTTTGACAGAGATCAAAGCAGTTACAATTTTCTCTACCGGATTCTCCATGAGTTTCTGGGGAAGATCACTGCTTCTTAAGCGTGGACAGGTTGCCAAGCAACCAGATCACAATCACGTGATGGGAGGGGCAGCTCAACATTTTACAACAGCCTGAAGTGCTTTATGGGCTATAAAGCACCCTTTCCGAGGCAACTGTACTTTCAAGCAGTCATTAAACAATCAGTCACAAATTGAGGACTCTGTACATTGTTAATTTCTACAAAAGATCAAGTGAAAGGTGGATAAAGATAAAACCTGGCAATAGCTTACAACTGGAACACTGAAAAAGAAACTGAAGGGTTGATTTTGGCTGCTCAAAAGCAAATTATTCAAATTAATGCAATCAAGGTCAAAATTGAAAAATTGTCAAATGATTCAAAGGGCAGATTGTGCAAAGAGGCAGAAGAAACGATAGATCATATGCTCAGTTCATGCAAAAAGATCACACAAACTGATTATAAAGAATGACAAAATGCTTCACGGGAACATCTGTAAAAATTATCATGTGCCAATAATGAAAAATTGGTGGGAACATGGAGTTGAAAAAATAGCTGAAAATGAGTAGGTTAAAACTGCTTGGAATTTCCAAACATAAGGACTTTGCTCATAACACACCAGATTTAACTGTAGTCAAAAAGAAGGAAGTATGGATAATTGATATGGCAATAGCAGAAAATAGACAAGAAAATAAAGAATTGGAGAAGATCAGAAAGTATCAAGCCCTGAAAATTGAAATGGAAAGATTATGGCAAAAACCAGCTTGATAGTCCCAATTATTGGCTCACATGGTGCCATACCAAATGATCTTGGACAGCACTTAGAAAATCTGCGCATTAATTAAAATTCTATCTGTCAATTACAGAAGGCCACAATGCAAAAATCCACACATATACCAACACTGATATATTACAACATTCTAGGTTTTTAGGAAGAACTTGATGCCTACACCAGCTAAAGAACTGGCAGCTGTGATTTCACATTTTTGTGTAAATAATAATTTATTAAATTTGTATGCCACCTCACACTCAACAATTCTCACATCAAAGGAGAAAGATAGAAAGATAGAAAGCATAATGAGGCAAAAAGGTCTCACTTTTCCTTGCCAAAAGTCTTTATAGCTCTTCTAAATAGCTTTTTTACCAGGTAGGTATATTCGCTATGAAAATGTATGAAAAACACATATTTAAATAATAAGCAGAGCATCTTCAGACAAGAAGTATGGCTAATATCTCGAACTATATGTTCACTGACATGGGCATTTCAAAATAAATAAATTGACAGCACAAATGACAATCTTTGATCTTCTATCTACTGCATTAAAGGAATCACTAAGTCAAATGACAAATTGATTCAGTGCTTTGATGTCTCTGTAGAATTCTTAAGAGAGATTTCCACGACAATCTTATAATCCTTTCATGGAGTAAATCTCAATGAGTTCAATAGAATTTACATCTGAGTAAACACGCTCTACTTGCTCTAATGAAAGCTAATGTTAATGCCCCTCTGAACTTGAGGTAAAGTTTTCCCCTGTTCAGTCATATCTGATTCTAAGGCATGGTTCTCATCTCCGTTTCTTGGCCAAGGTAGCCAGCATTGTCCAAAGACATTTTCTATGGTCATGTGGCCAGCATGGCTATATGTCAAAGGCGCATGAAATGCCGCTACTTTCCTACCAGAGTGGTGCCCAATCTACTGACATTTGCATGCTTTCAAACTGCTAGTTGGCAGGAGTTAGGTGGGGCAGGGACAGGAGCTCACCTATTGTGTGGTGCTCAGTCTCGAACCTGGGCTGTCAGCTTTCCAGCCGACAAGTTCAACATCTTTAACTGCTGAGCCATCCTTGCTAATAACAGAGAGCAAATTATTCTAGAATCGGGTGATTACATTTATGGGTGTTGCCCATTTTGTTTTGAACTGGACTCTGTTCAATTAGCACAGGAACATCAACTCACCGGTTTTCATTAACCAGGAACATAGAGCTAACATTTTCCACAAGTGCTTCACTTATGGGTGAGAGGCAGAATGGAGAAGAGAAGGCATCTGAATCCGAGTCAAACGTGCTATCTTTGCTAACATCATCGGCAGACAACTCCAAAGAGCCTTCATCTTCTCCTGTCACCAAATGGCTCTCCAGCCCTTCCTCTACGGACTCCTCTAATCGGTTCTGTTCATCCTGAGAACTGATTGTCGATAAAATTCCTGAGTCACTGTGAGCAGGCTGAGCGGAGCTGTGAATGTTGCATGTAGCTGAACAGCTGTGGGACAATTTGTCCCCTTCTTCTGAAGGGGGGCTGACATGAGCCACATCCCTCACCAGCTGTGATACAGTCAAAATGTCCTCCACATCCTTTGGGGTCTCAGCTTGCTTCTGCTCAACAGAAGAAGCCTGCATAGGGATGCCAAAACCCTGAGTGTGTCGGTTGCGCTTGCGGGGAGCCTTGCGGACAGGGGAGCTCTCGGGCGTGATGTAACGGAGAGCTTCTTCATCCTGCCTCTGAATACGGGAGTTGGGGACCCAAGCCAGGATAAGCGTGGTTCCAAGCAGCTCATCCTTCTCCATATACAAGCACAAGTAGCCTGCAAAAGAAGACAGGGACTTAGACTTATAGCCAACCCTCAGCTTTCTGGACTTCCCATGATGTGGAAACACAGCTATTCCTTTAATTTCTAGCAAGTGACTGGCCTCTTCTCAATGCTACCTTAACTGACTCATTCCTCATGATGTGTTTCCTATTATCCAAATAAACACCCAGAACAACCCAGTTGGAGTTCGGTATGAGGTTATTAGTCTTGATTCTTTCTACTGTTGTTTCTGCTGTTGCTTTAAATTGTTGTACACATCTTTTCTTTATTCTTTTAATCTTAATGCTTTTTTTTTATGCTGTTGGCTACTTTGAGCAACTCCTTTGCAATCAAGTGCAACCTAGGTATTTAGGAAGCAAATACCATGCATAAATTCACAACTCCTGTATACATATCGCTAGAATTTTTATTGATTTTTTTTCCTATCTGTTCATTAGCTGCAAGTTAGCCTTGTCAAAAACAAGGGACACGTTTCTTCTGTAAGATGAAAAATCACAGCAGTCTTGTTAAAATCAATGAAAGTAGCTGATATTGTGGTGAATAAGGTGACATTGCATGCTTTCCTAAGCTGTTCTAATGTCTGCAATGGAACTGTTCCACCCCATTTCCTAACTCTTTCATTTCTGAAGACTCCCTCATTCTCATGCCGAGTGCTGACCTATTGCTCCACAGAGGTTGAGTCTCTTTTCTTTGAAATCCCCTGTACAAGGGTATCTGGGAAATATAAAAAAATTTCTTGCTTCCAATTTTCTTATTCAAATTTCCATAATATCTTTCAGTTTTCTTTCTGATAAATACAGGTAGTTTTTGACTTACAACCATTCATTTTGAGACCGTTCAAAGTTACAACAGCCCTGGAAAAAGTGAAGTATGAGGGTTTTTCACACTTATGACCATTGCAGCATCCCCATGATCATGTGATCAAAATTCAGATGCCTGTCAACCAACTCATATTTATGATGATTGCAGTGTCCTGGGGTCATGTGATCACCTTTTGCCACCTTCTGACAAGCAATGTCAATGGGGATGCCAGATTCACTTAACAACTGTGGCAAGAAAGGTCGTAAAATGGGGCAAAACTCACTTAACAAATGTCTTCCTTAGCAACAGAAATTTAGGGCTCAATTATGGTTGTAAGTTGAGGATTACCCGTAATATTCTTTTTTGGAATTTTTAAAAAGAAAGTAAGAATTAAAATAAATGTTATTAAGCTGCCATACACCCTAATGTTTTTCTTAAAATGCCATCTATCCCAAAAGTTTAGGCACTTAACGACAATGACTTCAAAGTGAAATGTGGACTCTGCTGTTAGGATCCAACTCTGTCCCCTTCATATTTATGTCAGCATTTCACTTGCAAGGATACAAAAGTCTACAGAGAGCATAGAGAATGGCCAGTAGAGAGACCTGCTACCAAGGCAACGGCCAGATAAGCAGGGCTTGAGCCCAGGCCAAGGAAATAACTGGAGAAAACCAGCCCCTCTTTAGTTCACAGAAAGGGAAGGCGGGAGAGCACATTCTGATCTGCAAACTCCTGTTATTCGAGCTGTTACAATAAAAAAAAAACTCCTGACCTATATAATTATTGATTTTTTGGGTCTGGTCCTCCTTGATGAGCTGTCAAAGCCAATCTGAATTGCAATGCAAGTTTCATCACTTGCCCACTTTGTAGCTGCCTATGCCAGAGAAGGCCAAAATGTCAGCTTCTGTTGACGTCCTGCCTTGCAACAGTCAGAAACTGATTATGAATAATAATAAAAAAAGAATGGCCTCTGAACACAAAAAGCAGCCTGCATTTCTTTGAAACTATGCCAAGTGCTATAAAGGTAATCAAAATCCAAACAAAAGAAACACAGATAGTCCTCAAATTACAATGGCAATTGGGATCATGATTGCCGCTGCTAAGTGATACAGTCATAAAATGCAACGTCATGCGATCGTATCACTTAGCAATGAGAATCCAGGCAATCCAATTTGTCCCAAGACATATGGGTCATTAATCAAAAACTGGAGGGTGTCCCCAGTCAGGAGCACAGGGCTTCCATAGGAGCGGAGGTTGCCACAAGGAAGAGAGGCCCTGGCAGGTCTGGCACAGTTCATGTGCATGTTGTGGGCTGATGCAGTGCATCATGAACTCAGGAAAGCGGGTAAAGAAGGCAAAGGGAGGCCTGGGAAAGAGGGGGTGAGGTACATGCATATGTGCAAGCGCAGAGAGACTAGGGAAAAAGGCCACGTGTGTCTGTGCAAGCACAGGGAAGCTGGGGAAAGGGGATGTGGGGTAAATGTGTGTGAGAGTAGGGAGGCCAGAGAAAGAGGATGCAGGGTATGTGCAGGTGTGCAAATGTAGGAAGCTGGGGAAAGAGGATGTGGGGTGCATGTGTGTGGATGCAAGGAAGCAGGGAAAGATGGCAGGGATGCATGTGGGCAACAGCAGCAAGGCCAGGAAAAGAGGACATGCACACACTCAGGGCAACGAGGCTGCGGGAAGACTTATCCAACTGATTTGCAACCTTCTCTGCTGGCTTTTCTATTAATTTTGCTGGCAAAGGAGGTCACTAATGATAATCCTGTGCAGGATGCTATAATCCAGTGGTTCTCAACCTTTCTAATGCCGCGACCCCCAACCGGTCGTAAGTCGAGGACTATTCAACTGGTGCAGCACCGTTTGCAGAATGGGACTTTTGGCGGGCTCAACAGGGCAGAGACAGCCTGGACAATTCCTACTGGCTTTTGAAAGCCAATAGAATTAGACCAGCGGTTCTTAACCTTTGTGTGACGGCGACCCCCATCACACAAAGGTTATGCGCATGCGCGGCGATGGCGCGCATGGGGGCGGGGCCCCCGCACGTGGCGCGCATGCGTGGCGCGCATGGGGGGGCGGGGCCGTGCACGACACGCATGTGCGGCGGCGCCCTGTGCGCGGTGCGCATGGGGGCGGTGCCCCCGCGCGCAGCGCACATGCGCGGCGGCACCCCCGGAGGCGCGCCGCCACCCCCACGCGCGGCGCGCGTGCACGGCGGCGCCCCCCGGAGGCGCGCCGCCACCCCCACGCGCAGCGCGCGTGCGCAGCAACGCCCCCCCGGAGGCGCAGCGCGCCCCCGGAGGGGACAAAATGGCGGATCGCCACCTTTGGCGACCCCCGAAAAGAGGTCGATCGACCCCAAATGGGGTCGCGACCCATAGGTTGAGAACCGCTGAATTAGACTCTATTCAAGAGTCTATTCTATTGGCTTTCAAAAGCCAATAGAATAAAATGGAGTAGCACAGCTAAGGAAAAGGGGGAAAAAATGGCGGACTGCATTGTTTGGCGACCCCCGTGAAATGGTTGTTCGACCCCAAATGGGGTTCCGACCCACAGGTTGAGAACCACTGCTATAGTCGGTCATAGGTGTGAGCTGGCTGCCAAGTGTCTGAATTTTGTTCACGTGAGCACAGGAGCACTGCAGTAGCCAGAATTTTGTTGAGATGGGTGGCTATAGAAATCAATCAATCAATCAATAAATCAATCAATCAAATAAATAAATACTTTGAGGACTGTTCACAAGTCCTTTCATTCAGTGCCATCATAACTTCTAACTGTCACTAAGCTCAACCAACTCGTAACTCGAGAACTACTTGTATTTCATATTCAAAAGAATATATGAAAATATGAATTTGTTTCAAATTCTAGCTAGGTTCTACACACAAGTATTGGGGAAGCAATATGAAACACTAATTTACATTTTACTAATACAAGACTTTTGATAAATCAAATTAGACATTATAGTAGAGGCTTCTACTGCTGTAGGCATAGCGTCATTAACTGTATGCAATAGGAATAGTCATCATGCTCTGAATTTATATCCCTGCTATAAATCAGCCAGACCTGGAAACAAATTGGGTGAATACTAAATACCATAAATGCACTGGGTTAGAATACAAGAGACTGTGAGTTCAAGTCCCGCCTTAATTTTTTACTTAATTAAAAACATTTAATTAAATGTATTTTTTTAATTATAAAAATAATGCTTTGTTTTTCTCCCTTTCAGTTTGCATAATATTGCAAAGTGAACAGCAGAATGGGTATTATACAGATATAAAAAATTCATTTGTATTTTTCTGATATTTGCCAAATCACATAATGATGCTTGTTGGCTGAAAAGATTCTTCTTTGTGTTAAAGCTTATGACAGCAAAACAAACATTACAAAAATCTAATTCTGGATCTTCTTAATATACTTTAATCCTAAAATGAGGTTCCTGTTTTAGAAGTTTTAATATAGCATATGCCACCTCATACTCAAGCTAGAAAAACACAAAGGGAAAGAAATATTTTACGCTGAACTAGGAAAGTCAGACAAGGAATAGCTGAGGCACACTATCTTGCTGGCAAGATTTAGCCACTCCCCTTGGATCCATAAACAAAGGCGATACCAGCTGGAGGTATACACGGCGAGAGATGAAATAGGTAGTAAGGGAAACTTAAGTAAATAGCTGAAGCTCTCTTCAAGCATTTTAAGTAAGTATGGAGGGGAGGGACGTTACACTTCATTCCTAATGGTCCATATTGACAGGGAAGGCTTGAAAAGGAGGTGGGATTCAAATATGTGAACAACCGGTTCTCTGTGTGGGTGCTGTTTCTGGAAGTCCATTCTGGGCCTGGGCAACAAAAAATTAGCTACCGGTTCTGCCGAACTGGTGTGAACTGGCTGAATCCCACCACTGGTTGTGACCCTACTGACCTAGGTACAGTACTCCAATCCCCAAAACAACTGCAACTGTATTTAATCTCATACATTAACACCTGTCTTGAATGTTGCTGATAACAAAGGGAGGTCAGAGAGGAGCAGGGCAGAACTGAAATGCATGGCCCAGTTCCCTCTACACTTACAAGCATTAGATGCCTGAAGAGGGCTTCAGAGATTCTGCTACACACATAGTCCTAAAGAGATTTCTTGATGTTTGCTAGCCGTCCTCACCTGGATGATGTTCCACAACACCTTGCAGCATCTCAGGGGGGTGGACACAAACATTGTTCTTGGAATAGATAATCTCTCCATCCAAGATGGAAGACGAACCACCACAGCTGCTGCTGGCATTTAAGGTCAGGAGATCAGATGCTTTGGAAGAGGCACGACGGAGGAGTTTTCCCAGAGACATTGCCAAGGAAATGTTTCCATTCTCTATCAGCTTCAGTCAAGCACCTAATTCAGAGAGTAAGGTCTGCCCAGGGAAAACAAAAAGCAAAACCACACATATACACAAATTAGAACAGATACAATGAATAGGTAACAACAGAAAGACACATAGCTCCCCTCTTCTCATTCAGGTAAAGTATTTTGGTTGGGATGGCATCAGAAGCTGCCTGACCTTTATGGTGTCAATCACCCTATTAAAACTCGGTAAAGAAAACTCAACATTAAAATCAAGTCTTCATCACACAACTTCTATTTACAACTTTAGGTGACCTCTTGTACCTGACAAGTGCTCACCACAACTTATGCCACATTGGGCCTTTCTAAACTTGCCGCATGTTTTAATAATTTCCTTCATGATATTAGACCTGCCATTGTTTTGGATAATATCAACATTTTTCTCATTCAAGCACTGGCAAACAAAATACTGCTTCACTTCTAGATGTATGGCTTTGACCTCAGCTTACTTTGTCTTGCAGTTGAGCTGAGATGCAAAGATGCAAACTAATTTAGGAAATGTATGAAATCTTCTCATAAGCCAGTCACATAAGAAATAAATAAAAAGCAGGTATTATGTAAAATAATGGATGCTGCAGTAGGGCTGTCTCTGAAACAAATATTCCCAATGAAGAATTAATTTTAACTCAGAAAGGTGTTGACAATAAAGACATTTGCATCTGTTTTTTAATTTGCTTTGTTTCTTTATTGGATGAATACTTTAAGTGGATCAACACAAGAATGCAACCAGGACCCTATTGTCACTGCTGTAGCATAGCAACAAAGCTTTGTGAGCATTGCCTATGAGTCCTGTTGAATATAGGCCTGAAATAGCACATGCCTGCCATCACCTGCACAATATATGAATTTACACCTGCTCTACTGGAAAAACAAATGGGAGGAAAGGTTGCCTCTTGGAGGCATGCACAACTTTCCTTTTGTGCTGCAAAGTGAGCCAGCCTAGCCTTTTCTAATTTACATGGCCTTTAAAGCAACTGTAACATTTGGGGATACCAACCAAGGCATTGCAGAGCAGCAAGTGCTTTTTGGTCTAAGGATGGCAACTAAAAGACACAAGAAAAAGACAAAACAGAGAAAAATACTGGCTTTAATTTAACCTTGTGTGTCTGACTTGTTAAATAATTCACAAGAAAGCAAGCTAAAGAGACTGGAGCTATAACTAACAGATACAATGAATATAGTATCTTGCCTGCTATAATTAATAACTGCCTATACCAGTGGTGGCGAACCTATGGCACGGGTGCCAGAGGCGGCACTTGGAGCCCTCTCTGTGGGCACACATGCAGTTGCCCCAGCCTTGCCTCCCCCCGCGATCCCCTTCTCTCCAGCAGCCCCCATGAAGGAGACTCGCCCCCGAGCGTGGCCCATGCGGAGCAGCGCAGACAAGGACATGGCAGCCAGGCAGCATAGGCAAGACTCTGCCCTCACACCCCATCATGCAGTTGATGCTGCAGGGTGTGGGCAGAGGGTGTGGCTGCCATAGTGCTGCTGGGCTGCCTGGGCAATCTGCGGCGGGCCCTGGAGGTGGTGAGTGGTACTGTGGGCAGGTGGGGCGGGGGATGGGGGCAGAGCAGGGGAGGGGCCAGTTTTTGGGCACTCGGTCTCTAAAAGGTTTGCCATCACTGACCTATACTGTACTTTGCACAGGAGTGAAAGAAGGAGGTACGTGGGGGCAAAAAAAGAGATATGTGGGTTCAAAGAGAGAGGCATTCCCAGCAATATCATCCTCCTCAAATCAACAAAGCAATAAAGGAGGTGGTCCTTGTTTAATGACACTTGTTCTGTGCTGAATGAGTGGTAGTTACAAGTGGGTAGTCATGCTTATTTTCTTATGAGGTCTATACTAGAAAAACCATGCAGTCCTTGCTTAATGATTGCAATTCTCATCACTAAGTGGAGCAGTCACATGTTTTTTTGACTTATGACGATGTCACTTAACAATGGAGTTTCCGTTCCAAATTAGCATCTTTCATCTATGGTGAAGGTGTGCTGTGTACAGCAATAAATAAATATTTCCTGCCCATTCCTTAATCTATGACCTGTTTTCTTCTTGTTCCAGTCACTTGCCAATCTTATCACCTAGCAGCTAATTTATGCAAAACCAGAGATGAAGCAGTGGGATGTATCTTTTCTTTAGCATCCTTTTCAGAGGTTGTGTTTGCCAACTGGCTTAATCTGGTTACTGAATTAACCCTTTTTCTTCCGGGTTTATGGATTACAATGAACCATCAGATAAGATGGGGTTGCATAAGGCACTAAGGTTAAAATGAGCTTAATGTCCAAATGCAGCCATCAGGGCTTTAGTAGACCTGGTTAAATGCACGGAGGGAATGCAATCTTTCTACCATATATCATCTGGCATGGTGCTGACCACAGCATCTCAATCATCACTACTAAAATGAAGAAATAAAACTGCACAGGTTTGAGTGCAAATTCTTAGATGTATTCCGGTTCTTAAGACTAGGGCTTTGTAATGAGCTTTCAAAATTCTCCATCAAATATATGGGAAGAGAAATTGAATGGAAGTAATGGAACAGTATATCTCAGTGATTCTCAACCTTTTCTTCACCATGGAGCCCCTTTAAATAACTTTTGCGGCCACAGACCATGGCCACAGACCCCCCAAGATTTAACTCAAGATTTACATCATAACCTTTCTTCAAGCCTACATGGACCCTCTATGATGACCTCGTGGGGTCCCAGGATTCCTCAGACCACAGGTTGATGGCCACTGCTCTAGAGTCATGGTGATCCATCACTGCAGGTTCTAATCAAGTTTGGACAGCCATTTCTCTGGGATGGTATGAGGAAACCTGCTTTGGGGTTGGACTAGAAGACCTCCAAAGTTCCTTCCAATTCTGTGCAACAATTTCTGATGAGCAAAATTTTAGCTGGGATAGTAGCACAAGTATTGAAACACCATAAGGGGAGGCGTTACCTCCTGCTATATTACATTGGGATTTAACTGATGTGTAATAATCCAGAAGTTCCAGACTGAATGAGCATTGAAAGAAAAGATATTAAAATTCATCCTGTGACCAAAAATCATAATAATAAAAAGAGAACGAGTATGATACTCCACTCAGGACAATTAATCTGAAAATCTATTTCCCACTGAAGGAACATTTAGAACTTTCATCAGATAGAATGAGAACAGATTAAAAGAAAAACATGTCATGTTTGAGCCAAGTGAACTTGAATTAAGCAAAGCCTTTCTGAAGCATTATCAACAGACCAGGATGGATTTAAGCCATACAGGTAGTCCTCACTTAACAACCATTTACTTAGTGACCATTCAAAGTTACAATGGTGCTGAAAAAAGCGGCTCACTCCTCACACCATCACAGTTACATGATTGTGATCCAAGCACTTGGCAACCAGCTCATACTTATGGCCATTGAAGCATCCTCATTTGTGACCTCCCCAGGGGGCTTCCAAGAAGCAGAGTCAATGGGAAAGCCAGCAGGAGATTGTAAGTCATGGTCATAGCCATCATGGTGAAAAAGGTCATAAAATTGGGTGTGGTCACGCGATGCCTCACTTAATAACTGCACCACTTAATGATGAATATTCCAGTCCCTGTTGTGGTTGTAAATCAAGGATTACTTGTACAGTTCTTATCATGGCAGACAATACTGAGATATTCATGCTTCTCTGAAATGCAATGGAAACATTTACTCTGCATGAAAAGAGTAGAAAAATGGGAAGCTTGGACATGAGGTACAAACAGCAGCACTAGGTTTCTCTCTGCTTTCACAAAGCAAGGCAGCAATCACATATCTTTATTTTCCCCATGTATCTTCATTTTTATTGGTTTCAGAAATAAATCTGTTGAAAATCGAGAGATTTTTCTCCAGGACATTTAAGAAAATAACATGCCGTTCATTTTGATAGAAACCCAGTTCCATTGCTACTCAAGCTCATTTCAACAAGGAACTATTAATGAAAATATGCAATTCTTAGATTTAGTGATTATGAGGATTAGGACTATCCAATGTAATTCTTCTTTTTTGAAAGAACAAGATATCGTAGGCTGGTTGATGTAAAGACCACTACAGGTACATTCTGGAAAATATAATGAAATAAAGAAGTAAACATATAGAAAGATTGGGCCTTCCTAGAAGTAACCCAATACGATTTCTGCAGATGTTTTTCTAGATTCTTTTTTTAAGAGGTCAACCAGCATGTAAATTCAAACTTTCAAGAAAAAGACCTCATCAAAGGTACCTGAACAAGCTTCACAAATCATGAGATATGATGGGTTATTTTCTTCACTAACAACTAACTATGCATTGCACAAATTTGTCCTGACATCTTGTTTCTGTTGATTCCATGAACGCCACAGCACACCTAAAGCAAGTTTAAGTTACTCTTAGCTGCTCCTAAAGTACTCCTTCCCTCTTACCACAAGGAGCATCCAAAAGTACAGGGGGTTCTTACAATCACAAGTAAGCCCAAAATTTCCATTGCTAAGCCAGGCAGTTGTTAAGAAAGTTGCACCTCATTTTATGACCCTTTTTGCCAGTTGTTAAGCAAATCACTGCAATTGTGAATTGTGTGTTTGTTTAGTGAATTTGGCTTCTCCCACTGACTTTGCTTGTCAAAAGCCGGTTGGGAAGGTTACAAATAGTGATCATATGATCCGAGAGGCTGCAACCGCTTTGGTAAATACATGCCACGCTGATTGCCAAGTGCCCAAATTTTGATCACATGGTGATGTGATTGCTGCAACAGTTTTAAGTGTGGAAGCCAGTCATAAGTCACTTTTTTAATGCTGTTGTAACTTCGAACAGTCACTAAATGAATGTTTGTAAGTCGAGGACTGCCCATAGTCTTAAAATGTGTAAAATCTGTGATGTTTTGCCACGTTATACCAGAGGCAAGGTCAGATGACCATGAACAGAAACAACAGAGGCAGAATATGGATCAAGTTACCATAATTTTTAAATTAATACAGTTTCTCTGCCAGCTCAAGGACGGTGACTTTGTATCCTAGCAGCTTAATAGTGGCTTTGCAGACTGTCTGAAAGTCTTTTCAAAGTAATAAAAGCAAAAAAAAAAAAAAATTCCTCTCCAGACGGGATAAACAAACCTTAAAATGGCAAAAGGAAACTGGAGAATATCAACAAACTCAGGTTTCTCATATAGATTTAAATAAATGGCATCTGGGCAATCAGAAAAAGATATTGGATAATTGGAGGTTAAATGTTCCTCTAGTGTAATGTTTCTCAATCTTGACAAATTTAAGATCTGTGAACTTCAACTCTCAAAACTGTGGGAGTTGAAGTTCACAGATGTTAAAGTTGCTAGGGTTGAGAAACACTGTTTTGGTGCATGATTCTTGTAAAGCAAATCCTACAAATTATTAGGAATAGAATAAAAGCAAAACAACTTGCAATACAATATAAATCCATGGTATGACCACACCTGGAGTACTGCTGCTTCACAGCAGTACCTACAAGAGATATTGCTCAATGGGTCTCTTACAACAAAGGACTTAACTGTAGTTGGGTATTTTACACTAGAACAAAGGAAGGTATGGAGAGCTATTACAATTTAAGTTGGATGCAAATAAAAAGCATTTGCTTTATACTGTACAGGCCAAAATATAGCCAAAAAAGAGTTTCTGAGGGGGGGAAAAAACCACCTTATCAAGCCAGCTTGGTAGAAAGCAGCCTACATTCATCACATATTTTTGCCTGAAATCTTGATCAGTAAAAACAGGAAAGTCTAATAAAATAAAGGATGTTAAACCTCTACGTACTTTATACATTCTTGAGCTATCTTGACTTTGAAGGAAAATGATAGTCCCTTGTTAAAAGGCAAAGGAGGGGTATTCCAGCAGAGGGTTCATGTTATCTGTATAGCTCATCTCAGAATTGATAAAGATGCTTAACATAAAAATATTACATACTTTAGATGTAAAAATGGCATTATCTTAATCTGTTCTTCGATTTTGGTCAAATATGAGACAGGAATGAGCAAGTAAACAAATTGTTTTTTAAAAAGGTTTAAAGGTAGAACAGAGGATCATGTCATTTGCAGTTCTCCAAATGAAAGAAAGTTGTTTTCCTCTTCACCATGCCCTGTTGGCACGGTGGTTAGAGTGCAGTATTGCAGGCTGACCCTGCCTACTGCCAGCAGTTCGATCCTGATGGGCTCAAGGTTCACACAGCCTTTCATCATTCCGAGGTCGGTAAAATGAACCAGATTGTTGAGGACAATATGCTGACATTGTAAATCACCTAGAGAGGGCTGTAAAGCACTATGAAGCGGTATATAAGTCTAAGTGCTATTGCTATTGCCATTGTGTATAGATAGTCCTCAACCACAACTGGTCTCAGAATTTTGATTATAAGACATTGTAGTCACTAAGCAGTTTACTATGTGATCTAACTTGATTTGATGACTGTTTTTACCGTGGTCATAAAGCAAATACTATAGTCATTAAGTCAATCACATGGTTATTAAGTGAACCTGCGGTCATTAAGCAAATCTGCTAAAAAAGAATAAAAAAGTTGCAAAACATAGTCACATGACTGCAACATGCTGCAACTGGCCATAAATGAGTCGGCTGCCAAACACCCAAAATACAATCATGTAACCACGGGGGGGGGGGGGAGGAGGAAGCAGTTGTAATTTTGAGGACGAATCATATCTTTTTTTTTATAAAATTAAGTTAGATCACATAGTGATCCGCTTAATGACTACAATGACTTATAACCAAAATTTTGTCATAACAGTCTTTATTTAATGGTCATTATGTAAAGACTACTTTGCAAAAAGTCTCTTCATAGACCTTCAAGTAAAAATACATCACTGACAGGACTATATCCTCATGTTCAACTATCTTTTTGCTATGAGCACAGCAGACATAAAACACAGAATATACACAGAACATACTTTAGCTTTAATAAGCTAGTTCTCGACTTACAAAAGTTCATTTAGTGACCGTTTGAAGTTACAACTGCACAGAAAAAATGACTTGTACGACTGTTGCAGCATCCCATCATCATGTGATCAAAGTTCAAATGCTTGGCAACTGACTTGTACTTACGATGACTGCGGTATCTTGGGGTCATGTGGTCACTTTTTGCAACCTTTTGACCAGCAAAGTCAATGGAGAAGTTATATTCACTTAACAATTGCATTACTAACAACTGCAATGAGTCACTTAACAACTGTGGCAAGCAAAGTCATAAAACAGGGCAACATTCACTTAATAAATGTCCGGCTTAGCAACAGAAATTTTGGGCTCAATTGTGGTCATAAATCAAGGACTACCTGTACATACAATAAATTTTATGGATGATTATCTACTACAACATGCAATATGTTTAGCTTGATTAAAAGCAAATAAAAAATACTTATTGCCTGAGACAATAATTTAGGATAAAATATTGATTTGACTGTATCATAACCATAGAAGACTGGCTATATTTGTCTCCAAGTCTCTGATTTCTGATATCTGGACTCTGGAAGTTTCCTTCAATATAGAGTAAAGAAGCAATACCTGACTCTCGATTTGGCCGTCTCTTCAGCATATTTACATGGCACATTTCTTCTTATGGCTCCTGGAAAGCTCATACAATAATGTGTGAACCGTTCAAGCCACAAGGCTCAGATGTGTTGCTTATTTACAAAGCAGGGCAGCAGCATTCCTATATTGGGGGGGGGGGCATATAACTCAACAGCAATGACAACATATTCTGTGCCTGAATCTCGTAGAACAGTGGTTCTCAACCTTTCTAAAGCCGCGACCCCATAATACAGTTCCCCATGTTGTGGTGACCCCCAACCACTTATACATCACCGGGTGCCATGGGCGTGGCCAAAGAAAAGGGGGGAAAATGGCAGACAGCCTTGTTTGGCGACCCCCATGAAATGGTCGTTCGACCCCAAATGGGGTCCCGACCCACAGGTTGAGAACCACTATCGTAGAAGAACACCTTACTTGAGGTATGATTAAAGCAGCCCCAATACTATGGAGTCTGGACAATAAGTGTGATTGTGTGCACCCTTATCAGAATCCATGGGGATTAAGTAAACATGGTTATAAGGTAGACAAAGTTTAAGGGACACTGAGGAAAACCAACTTCAAGTTTATAATCTAAATTACCTACTTCTCTCAATCTGGATTTGGAATTCATACCTTCCAAAATAGAAGCAGCTCATTCTGAACATTAATTTGCGTGGCACAAACTTCTCCCTTCCATACTCCTTCGATATATAAGGATAGCTGATTCAAAACGTTCCTGCTGCTAATTTAAAAAATATTATGCAGCCTTTAGTCAGACATTTTCTGCATAACTCTTGTCACCAAACAGCTCAACGGGATGGTATTTTTAATCCAGTCATTAGCTGTTTCATGGACCAAGCCCAAGACTGCTCAGCACGCAGCCCAAGATAAGTTAAGTCACCAGCTGATTTGATCCCATTCTCATTAAGTATTCAGTCAGCACAATCACTCCCCCCCCCTCAACCCAAGCCCTTCCTTCTAGAACAAAAGGCCACAGGGCAACATCCCATTGGCAGGTTTTCTGCCACAATCTTCACTTGCTCCAACTGCCCTGCTCCTTGGTGCAGTTAAGCCCTTTCTCCTTATCAGTGGGAACAATGGAGGGATGTCTTTTGATAATGGCATGGCTGAAAGCATGATTTCTGACTGACAGCTTGGCACCGCTGCAAGGACTCAGCCAGGGCAGGCAGAAACTAGTTCTTTACAGAAAAACACTGAAGATTTGCATAATTTGGTGAAAGGCACAAAAGATGCAGGGTTGGAGAAGTGGAAAAATTATACATATTCTTGAGAAAATACGCAAAACTCTTTCCTAGAACCATAATCTCAAATAAAGAAACAGCGGGAATAAAAAAAATGGGATGGCAGAAGGGTAAAAGGGATAAAACATTAGACAGCGACTCTTACCAAATTTTAATGCATGATCTGATTTTGCATGTTTCTTGAACAACTCTGTTTTTTAGAAGTATAGGCCACCTTATCTCCAGGAAAGAGAATGCAACACTTCTCCATTTTTCTTCACAGGTTTATGAGTTAAACTGGGCTGAGAGACAAATCAGAGGTTTAGCTATATCATTAGAGTTTTCAACAGGAACTGCTGTGGTAGATTAGAGGTTTTAGGAATATATTCCAAGGAAGGAAGCCATGACTGAGTTTAACTATCTGAGAACTGTATGGGGATAATGCTCAGCAATAAACATCAAGCAAGCAACAAATCCCTGGGAAGTATATGAGATTTTTGAGTTCCAAGTTCACTTTATATCATTTGTTTGGTTTAAGCTTCACAAGCTTGATGAACTTAGGTCAATGGGCTTTATTAAGAAACTGTTCAAATTGCAACAATTTAAACACCAACCACTAGCATTTTAGCACTTCCATAGTAAAAACAAAAGCCTTAAACAGGACTACTATCTACAATCTTTGTTTAAAATGTACCTTTTCAAAAGAAGCCTTAAAGCAGAGGTGTCAAACTGCCGGCCTATGGGCCGGACGTGTCATGCGGAAGCAGGCCCACTCCATTGCCGGCAATGACAAAACAGTCCCAATATGCCATGCGACATCACGTGACATCGCGAGTTTGACATGTCTGCCTTAAGGGCTTCTTGCAGCTGCCATTTAAGCCAGAGGTCCGCAACATTTTAGGCACCAGGGACTGGTTCCATGGAAAGAGGTTTTTCCATGGACTGGAAGGGGCATGATTTTGTGTGCTGCCTGCATCTCACAGATGGGGCTTTGATTGTGCGGCCTGGTTGCTGGCATGCCGCGGCCCGGTACTGGTCCATGGACCGGGGGTTGGGGACCCCTGATTTAAGCCATAAAATCCATATACAGGTAGTCCTCAACTTACAACAGTTCATTCAGGGACCATTTGAAATTACAACGGCACTGAAAAAAGGAGTTATGACCATTTTTCACACTTATGACTGTTGCAACATCCCCAGGGTCACATGATCAAAATTCAGATGCTTGGCATCTGACTCATATTTATGACAGTCACAGGGACCAAGGATGCCCATGACATTGAAACTCTGAAACAAATAGCTAGTATGATATAGTGGCTAAGGTGCTATGAGTTCTCTCTTAGGCATGAAAGCCATCTGGCTGACTTTGGGCCATAGGGTCCCTTCCTGAACTTACAGCTAACCTTAGCTTAACTCAGGTCTGATTTTCTCTCCCAATCCTTGGCCTCAATGACATTAATCTCTACTTACAGGTTGACTGTGGATTGACAATGTGGTCTGTGCCTTTTTTAAAGTTCTAATGGACAAATCCACTGATCTCATGCCTCCTTAAAACAGGTAGTGATACTGTAGGTGGCTACGTAAACCACCCTTAGACCTAACAGCTATTGACAACTACCAATAGTCTCCAAACTTCCCTTTATGGGGAAGGTTGTTGGGAAGGTAGTCTATAAATGGAGAGAACCCAGATCAGCTAGACTCATTTCAATAAAAGTTTCAAGTCAGACCTTAATAGTGTCACAGCCTTGGTCATGCTTGTCAATGACCTGCAATGGAGCTAGAATGGTGATGGTGCATCCATCCTTGTGCACCTTGATCTCTCAGCGACTTTTCTATCAATCGCTGTTCTCTGTTCTCAGCAGCTTTTCTATCAATCACTATCAACTACAATATCCTTCTGAGTCGGTGTTGTGAGTTAGGAAGTGGGGGAACCTTTTTACAGTAGTTCTCTTCCTTTCTCCAGGGCCAGTTCCAATCAGTGTTGATTGGGAGGAGATCTACCCCTAGGCCCCTCCTACCATGTTTCCCCCAAAATAAGACCTGGTCTTTATTTTTTGCCTCCAAAAGAGGCACCAGGTCTTATATTCAGGGAGGGGTGTCTTTTCCACTCACCTTACGACGGCGGCACCAACAGCCCCAACCAGCCAGCTCACTTCTTCTGCAACTGAAGGAGCAGCTTCATTCTGCAACTGAGAATGAAGCTCGGGCATCCATTTCACCATCAGCGGCCCTTCTGGAAGGCCTGTGCAGCTGAGAACTGAGCTACAGATTGAATCCATAGCTTGGTTCTCGGCTGCATAGCTCGGTTCTCAGCTGCACAGGCCTTCCAGAAAGGCCTTTGACTGCGAAATGCAGGCCCAAGCTCCATTCTCAGCTGCAGAATGAAGCTGCTCCTTTGGCCACAGAAGAAGTGGGCCGGTGAGGCAAATATCAACCTATGGGAGGCCTGGCTGCACCCCCGCCCTAGCTTGATTTTTAGGTGTGTGCCTTGCCCCAAAACTAGGGCTTATGTTTGGGGTAGGGCTTATATTAGGCCCACCCCCAAAAATCAAGCTAGGACTTGTTTTTGATATAGGTCTTACTTTCGGGGAAACACGGTATGTAGGGTGCTGCAAGTTTCTACTCTCTCACTCCTCCTTTTCAACATCTACTTGAAGCCACTGAGATCTTCCCTGGTTTGGCTTTGGTATTATCAGTATGCTGATAATATCCAATTGTATCTTTCGACCCTGGGGTCAGCCTAGTGAAGATCTCAATAAGTACCTGGAGACTGTGTGGGTTTGGATGGGGAAAAACTATCTCTAAGTCAATCCTGGACTTCCTGAACTTGCATCTTCTACTCAAAGAGCAGGTATCAGCTGTGGCTATAACAACCTTTGCATAAACTCTAACTAGTGTGTCTGTTATAGCATTTCCTAGATTACAGAGCCTTCTTCCAACATCATCATCATCGTCATCATTCATGCCTAGTCATCTAAAGGCTTGACTACCGCAATGCTTCCTTTGAAGATTACCCAGAATCTTCAATTAGTCCAGAACACAGCAGCAACAGCAGTGATACACCTAATAAGCTATGTGGCTGCCATTTTGTTTCTGGATATGACTCAAGATGTTGGTTGTTACCTGTAAAGTTCTAAATAGCATGAGGCCTTGTTATTTGATCAGCCTGGCTGATTTGATCCTATAGGGTTGGTGCACTCCAAGTTCCTTCAGTTAAACAATGTCATCTATCAGGATTCTGGAAGCATTTTCTGTTCTCTGGAAATAGTGGAGAAAAGAACAACAAAGATGGAAACTAAAACATATGAGAAGTAATTGCAAGAATTGGGTATGGCTAGTCTAGTGAAAAGAAGGACTAGGGGTGTCATGATAATGTTCCAATATTTGAGGAACTGCCACAAAGAAGAGGGGATCAACCTATTTTCCAAAGCACCAGAACACAAGAAACAATGGATGGAAACTAATCAAAGAGAGAAGAAACCTAGAACTAAGCAAACATTTCATAACTGTGAGAACAATTAACCAGTGGAACGGCTTGCCTTCAGAGGTTCTGGGTGCTCAATCACTGGAAGTTTTTAAGAAGAGACTGGACAGCCACTTGTCTGGAAAGATATAGGGTTTCCTGCTTGAGCAGTTGGACTAAAAGACCTCCAAGATCCTTCCAACTCCGTTATTACCTTTTCTGAAGCAGTCTTTCTTGTAAGTCAGTTTAGTCTCTCTGGTGTTCAATAAGCCTTCATGGCTTTAGCACATCTTCTTCATGGTCCTTCAGATATTCTTCCAATGCCTTTTTGTTTCCTTCAGCTGGCTGGTGCACTTGCAACATTCCACTCCCACTTATTTTCCTTGATAATTAGAGTCTGTCAACATCTCTGCCTGGAAAGCCATAATTTGTTGTCATTATTTTTCTGGTCTTCCTATTCAAGACTTTTAGTTCTGCTCGAGTCCAGTTCACTATTTTAGCTGTGTATCTAATGACTGGAATTTCCCAGGTGTTAGATAAGATAAGGTAAGGTAAGGTAAGGTAAGGTAAGGTAAGGTAAGGTAAGGTAAGATAAGATAAGATAAGATAAGATAACCTTTATTGTCATTTTTATACTGTGGGCACAATGGCACACATCAAAAATGAAATTTAGTTGCCCGCTCTCAAAGTGAAACACATACATGACACACACCTAAACATTGCCTTGATAGCATTTCCTCCATTGAGTTGGGACTTTAAAAGCTTCTTCACTCTCATGATGTATTATCTTCTAACCTTCTTGACTTCAGTGTGCTTGATATTGCCAGCTTGAAGGATGCCCAGGTATTTGTAGTAACCGTCTTCATCCAGACTCTTCATGTTATTTTCAAAGACCATCATGATTTTTTCACTTTTCACTACTGTATTTTTCCTCTACTGATGGCAAGGTTGGCACATTTATCCAGTCCAAACACCATTGCAATGAATTGTCTGTATATATGGACAAAGTTGAGCAGCAGTTCTAATTCAGATGGTGTTTCTCCAGGCAACCTTGTCTGTGTTATTAACCCCTACCCATTAAGGCAGTATCTCTGGCTGGATGCAAACTGAGACAGGCTGTTTTAATTTGAAGCTCATGCAATAATCAGCACTACACCCTTAACTGACGCTCAATTCCTGTAAGTGTTATCCTGAAGCCAAGTTTCAAGAGAGGCATATAGTCCCATGCTCCAGACTTGCTTTCTCTGCAAATACTCTTATCAACATGCAGCCACAATTTGCCTGATTTTGCACATTTCCTTACTGGAAGGCATTTTTTAAAATTATTGCCTAAACCACAATTATGCTGCAGTTTGCCTTTTCTTTCCTAATACACAAACCACAGTGATTTGATCCAGCAATTTCAAACATTCCCTTCAAGTCTAACTTGTCACACTTGTTTTAAAAATCTTTCGGTTCCAGGTCTTCCTTCTTTTTCTGTAACTTTTAGAGAGAATACCACCTACTGTCTCAAAGCACTTGGTTAACAACTTTATTTCCTGATCCCTCAGTAGCTGCATAGGAATCAGGAGAGGGGAGAGAGTGATGTCATTATGCAAATGACACAACTGATGTAATTTGCACCACACACATCAAATGACTGACACAAATTACACGATTTGTGTCATTTGTGCTAGGACATCAAGGTGCATGTTAGCTCATTACGGTTTCACGGCATACCAATTTGTTCACATACGGCACTAAGCCACAACACCGCTTCCTTGGTTTGTGCATATGTAAATTCAATGTATTAAATTGGACTGTATTATAGATTTTTATTAAAACTCACCAAATGTTAAAATAAGTAAAGCCTCTACTCTGGAATTCCATGGTGCTCACCATCTAACTATAGGTAGGCCTCGATGTACAACAGTTCATTTAATGATCATTCAAAGTTACAACGGCACTGAAAAAAGTGACTTATAGCTGTTTTTCACTTATGACTGTTGCAGCGTTCCCATGGTCACATGATCAAAATTCAGATGCTTGGGAACCATATTTATGACGACTGCAGTGTGCCTGGTTCACGTGATCACCTTTTGCAGCCTTTTGACAAGCAAAGTAATGGGGAAGCCAGATTCACTTAACAACCATGTTACTAATTTAACTACAATAATTCACTTAACAACTGTAGCAAGAGAGGTCGTAAAATAGGGCAAAGCTCACTTAACAAGTGTCTCACTTAGCAACATACATTTTGGGCTCAATTGTGATCATGTTGAGGACCATCTGTAATGGCTTCAGCTCTAAACCTGCTCAAGATTGGCCAGATACTGCTATCTGAGACATTGTTAAAATAGTAAAAACACTGCCCCATATAGAACCTAGTCAATTTGTTCTCGTCTAGTCCCACCACTGAAACTCTCTCTGACCCGCTACATTAATATGCTTTGCATGCAATTTGCTAAAGTAATAGCTTCTTCAAGAGCTATTATTTTATGCAGACAGACTGATTCCAAGTGCCATGTTCCTCCTGATATGTACTAAATCTATTCCCTTGGGAGATTCCTTTTTCTAAAGGAATTGCCTTTGAAGAGAAAATGCACATGGTGAAAATACCATTTCCCCCCATCAGACACACATCACTGGAACAAGAAGAAAGCAATCTGAAACAATGCAATGAAATGCTTCGGTTATTTTTCCATTTAAACAGAATAGTTTAGGGGTATGAAGAAACTATGTGGAATAATTGAAAGGGGAAAAAAATGAGACAAAAAACCAGCAAGAGATTACCTGCTTATTGCGCTTGCATTTTATTATATTCTGAAACTAAGGATGAACTGCATTTTGGCAGGAATTCAAAGCACAGATCATATATGATATGTGATCCATACTTTATGGCCAACACTGAGCCAATATGAATTATTCATTGGTTTTGAGTGGGGGAGATAGAGGAAGAGAAAGATGCAATCTCTTTCATAGCTGGCAGCATCACTGTAAATTAAGAAGTGAACAGAGCATACTGCTCCTTAACAACTTGATCCTATGCAGAGTTAAGCATGCAAGGCATTGACACGCCCAATACCTCACAAGATTAATAGGCTGCTAGTTGTACTTCCAGATTCATTATTTTTATCAGGGTTTTCCACTTCCCTTACTGAGTCAATAATTAAAGATTTTTAAAAAGTAGAACATGAAACACAGAGATCATCTATTGTTAAAAAGTCTGTTCGCCTCAAACCATATGTCTTTTTTACAGATTCATATCTGCTATAATATATCCTACCAAACAATTGGGAATAGTTGCATTTTCACCATTATATTCTGGGGGTAGGGAGTGGGGTAAGGGAAGGTTGCAGGCAAAAAAATCCTTTAGCTTTTCTTTAATCAAATGGCTTGACATTGTGATTTTCCTGATAAACTAGGATTTTTTTATTCATCAACTAAGGAAATTTTTCAGTAAGAATGCAGCTCAGGGTGCTAACCTGGAAAAATGTAGCATGCACCAGATACCTTCACTCTTTCCTTTTGCTGACTACAATAGTTAGGCATCTTCAAAATGCCTTTCAAAAGAGGGCCAAGAAGCAAAGAACATATGTTTAAGTGAAGGGAAGTACTGAATGGAAAGTATCTATCATCATTCAGACAGATACAATACGATGGTATTTCCCCCCTCCCTCCGGGTGAAATGTTAGTCAAGATCAGTAAAAGACCGCACGTTTGAAAGACTTGAGTGAGACAACAGACTTCCTTGAGTTAATCTTTAATCTCTTCTGTACACCACTACCTTTGCCTCGCTCCTTGGTGCAGTAATTCCCCCACTGCGCTCGCATAATCCTAAATAGTGACCCACATCCTATCACTCTACACTCATCTAGAGTGCAAGACCCCTTCACAGCGCTGCCTCGTATTACCTGAGCAGGTGAACTTCACCAGGATGCCCTGCCCCACAACCCTTCCCCGAGGCAACCTATAGGGCCTCGTCTCCTCCCGCGCAGCAGCACGTTCCCCGCAATCCACGCCAAGAAACCCTCTCAGGGCCTCAGCGAAGACCCCACCCCAAGATCCACCCTGCTCTCCCAATGCCAGAACTTCCCTCCTCGGCTTTCCCAGCAAAGATTGAGATACCCTGACCCCCCCCCCAATCCCCCACCCTGGGAGCAGCCTCGCCCACCCACACCCAGCCCGATGCCCAGGGGGACAGGTTCTCACCCAGAGGCCACCGCCGCCGCCGCCGCCGCCGCCGCCGCCTCCTAGATCAGCGCCGCGCGAGAGGATTTGCAGGGAAAGTAGGCGCGGCCAAACGTGATCACACCCAACTCGATCTGCTTAACCCTGCCTTTATTATACTCTTGCCGGATCCGCTCAGGATTTGAAGGCGGAGCAAGCGGGAACGTGAATGAGACGTGAGCCATTCTTACTATTCCCTTCACAAGGTGCTTTTGCTGGGCAACGCAAGCTCTTGTTCTGCTCGGCTGTTCCCCAGCCTTTTGCGGAGAGAACGGGTGGTTACCAAAATTGCGCTGCCTTACACTGGAGTCTTTTTTCATTCCCAGCACTGACCCAATAGGCATCTTAAACTATTACATTAAAAGGTGATCTGAAAAGTGGGTTCAGAAGTGCTAACAAAAGGCCTTTCTTAATTATATGACATTACATTATTAATTATAATTAATATATCTACATTAGAGATGTTAATATTAAAGATATTAACTATATTACATTATTCATTATATTACATTAGAGATATTCACATTATGAGATTTCATTTTAGTTCATAGCATTTAAGAACTTACCCAAAATGTCTGCAAATCTGCTTTATGAATTGAAATAAACAAGAATTGCTAGTTTTCTCTTTCTATCAACAGCATACAAAAATATTTCAAATATTGTCCAGTGCCAATTCATATTCCAAATATTCCATATTTGTTTTGCTAAAACAAATAACATGCACATTTGGAATTAGTGTAGCTGCATTGCTCATAATTATCCCTATTTTGGATATGGGAAGATAGGGGTTTACCTAATACTGAACTGGCTGTCTTCAACAGAGGCATTCATGCAACATTCTAAGCTTGGCTAATAATAATATAACTTTGCAGGGGTTTTTTTTTGTAAGGATAACTTTTGTGAATCACTCTATTTGGTTAGTCTGTGATTGTATATTATATGAACCCAAAACATGAATTTAGTAGTTAAATTTGTGAACATGGCATTGAATCAGATCTAGACATCCATCCATCCAGCTCAGTCTGCTTGCTTTAACTTAACTGTTTAAGAAGTCTCTCAAAAGTAATAGAGTGGTCTGTCAAAAGATATTAGACTGCAATTCTTCACATATTATGCTGCCAGTAAACTCCACAATGGCAATATTCACTTAGTCCACATCAATGTGCATTCTTCCAATCCTTGGGCTGGCAGCAAAGTACCCAGG